ATGTAATCAGAGGATCATTTCTGGAAAGTTTTATTGATTATGGAGCTATATTTTCAAAGATATATTTTTTCTCTGTGGAGAGGCTATTACTTCAAATTATATATATTCGCACCCCACCCCCCTCAGATTCGGTCGTATATCTCACTTAAGCACAGGTTACATAAAAAGTAACAAGTGATTCATGAAAATATAGATAATAAGCTTTCATTTGATACCAGTTTCACTATGTCTCCAGGGGGGTGCTACGAAAACTGATTTTTAGGGACTTTTCAGGATTCAGCTTATGGACTTTATAGAACTGGTTTTCGTTTTGAACCTGGACGTCGTTTTTCTTTACGAGTAGAACGACTTTTTCAAAGTTAACCAATCATGATTAGCGTGAAAACAGGAGCCAATCAGAGATAGCAGTAAATGTTTGTCTATGCTGCTTGCTCCTGATTGGTTCAACTCGAAATGCCTCGTTTTCATTCTGCTTTATGATTGGCTAAAAATCTATTCTCAAAAATACGTACTTGGTTTGTAAGTTACTGGTGCAGAATAAATTGTGGCGATTGTTGCTACGGCAACCACCAAAAACAACATTAATCGAGACATCTTTTTTTCCCTTTCTAGAAAACAAAGACGAAAAATCGTTAGATCACTGACTAGTGTCGCATCTTTTGTCAATCTCTAAAGCTCGAATATATTTACCATTAATATTAGGGACTGGTTAGTATTATCCAGTATTATTAGTATTTATCCCTTAACATTAACGTTAAAAAGGTAGGATAATATAATAATATTATTATTAATAATAATAATATGTAATAATAATATACATTTGAATTTCCTACCCTGTCCCGGGGGTAGGGGGGTTTCAATTGACTAGTCCATTAAACAGGATGTTTGTTTATCAAATTAAAAATAAAGCATTTTTTGAGTATAGATTTAGGTTTAGATTGTCAGTTGGTTTCCCCTTTGAACCATTTCAAATGCGAGATCCTGCAACCAATCAGAATCCCCGAATTCAAAAGCCATTTAAAGTGTTCTATGTTTCTGATTGGTTTACGACGGAAGTCATTTCGGAGTCCAAATACTTTGCATTTTTCAATGAATTACCGTATACGAAATATTCTCGTGCCGAAAGAATCTTTTACAAAGAGTGTCTTGTCCTCATATAATTACTTTCAAATTTCATACACGTTTTATTAAAGATATTATTCTTGTATTCGCGAGCGAAATTTTGATATATGGCTTCGAAAAACTGTTGCTACTCAGTTTTGTGTTGCTACACTGTTTCTTGGATAACTTCATGGCCATTTGAATGTGGCATCTTCATTAAGTCCTGAGAAATCACCATGGTACAAAAAGCGGAAACACATAAATTTTCTGTTCCAGTGTAACAAACGGCAAATAAAAAGGTCTTCTCTCCGTTTATTGGAGTCAAAGCAAGGCAAAAAGAGGAATTCAAAGAATCGAGTGTTCGAGAGTTGGTCTACTTTACATGACAGTATTTGTATAATTTTGATTCTTTTGTGGTCAAGTTTGAGACAAAATTTGATTTTGGACACCAAAAGTAGACCGCTAACAGACAAAGATTTTGAAAATAAGTATTTTTTACCGAGTTTTTCTCATAAATCGAAGAAAGTAAAGAGTTATGGACCCTTTTCCAAATTATCTAAGATAAGGGGCTCATAACATAAGAAGAAATACCGAGCAAAAATTCCGTCGAAAAGAAGTTATTTCTTTCCTTTTGTTTGTTTTTTATTTGTCGTATTTTTTGTTACCCTTTCACGGCATCAAATTAAATTTTTTAAATGCAATAAGACAATTCAATCCAAGTCGAGTTTTTAATAAAGTCTTGAATTCACAGAAGAATTAAACGGATAAATAACGAAGGTGACTGATATCAAGTGTAAACATGGCGTAATGTATTATTTAATGTATAAGACAATTCAATCCAAGTCGAGTTTTTAATAAAGTCTTGAATTCACAGAAGAATTAAACGGATATGAAATAACGAAGGTGACTGATATCAAGTGTAAACATGGTATAAAACATCAGAAAACAAAATCATCGGAAATTACATAAAAACGAGTAAATCCTTTAAGTCAAAACTTTGAGATAATTTTTTGATAAATAACGTATTAACAAGAAGTTAATAATATCAAATTGTTAATTTACCTTGATCAGTCGAGACCAGGACGTCTTTGTTAAGTCAAAACAGCTTTGTGAAATATGTTCATCGGGTTTCGCTTCTTTTATAGGGAGAATATTCTTGATTAATGGCTGACAGTGTTTGGGCGGTTTTCGATTCTCTAAATTAGTTTGACATGCATTCGTAAGCCACGATTGGATAAAAAAGATATCAAGAAAAAATTAATTACAATTAAATTACAATGTTATTAGACAATTGTGAGCATTTTACTAACTGAAAATTTCTACAAGCTTTTCTTCAATAACGAGGGATATTTTAGGGCATTTTTTAGGGGCATTAATTCAGTAGAAAAACGAAAACAAACGTACCCATAAATTGAGAAAACGAAGGTCCTTCAGATTTGAGATTTGAATGATTTCTATTGCATAACGTCCCGTCTTGTATGAATATCAAAACTTATGAATCTATCGTAAGTTTACTTCAAATACTACCGCACACAAAAACGCCGAAAATTCAACAAAATTTTCTTTATCATTTTAAACAAAATTTCATGACTTTTCAAGAACATTTTCATGTTACCCGCGCGTCCTTTTTATTTACTTCGATATTCAATTTTCATGAAAAATTCTCAACAAAAATTATGAATTTTTACTATGCCGAAAATTTTCATGCCTTTCATCGCATAACGTCCTTAACTTCAATATTCATCATTATTCTGATTTTATCTCCCATTTTTTGTTATCCTTCATAGTCCAATAATGGAAATATTCAGAAATCCAATGTCTACAATGAAAAAATACAATTGAAATAATATAGCATTAGCATTAGACTACAGTTCAAACCAAAAGATAAACAAATAAAGTATATATTTTAAAATATCAAAAATATCGTATCGAGATCCAAATTCAAGTTGGCGAATCTTCCAGATAGTTTTTATCGCTGAACCTATCTTTACCCAAGTGTTGTTCTCGTCTCCAAAATCGATTGCTATGACAACGGCATGTCGTTTTCAACCTGATTAGATGTAAATAACAAATGATAAAGTAAATAATTGATTAGAATCACTACCTAGGTCTCTTAATAGCTCAAGTAAAACTCGTAAAATTTATGAGCTCCTCGCTTTGTTTAAAGGGTCGCTAAGCAACGTGTTTTTCCAACAGCTATTTTCAGTTGCTGGCACGCTCGTAAATTAACTACGTTATTGAGTGTCGGCGTGGGAATATACGAATATAACTTATTCTACTCATCGTATCGCGTTTGTAATCAACCGTTAATATGAAGAACTTCTTCATGATAGGCATTTTGTCAGAGGGCTTTGAAGTGGTTTTTTTATTTTTTTTTGCTTCGTCCTTTATTTCAGCGAGGTTTATGTCGAAGTAAAAACTATGGATCTAGGTTTATGTCGAAGTAAAAACTATAGACCTATAGACAAACGAAGACCAATGCCATTCTCTTGGCTTCCGAAATAACTTTTTTTATCATATCTTTTGAACAAAATTTGTATTATACAATCCTAATTTAATCCCAAAAAACTTTCCAACAAGTTTCCCCCCGATCATGTAGTTTGCTATAGCGAAATTACAAAAAAATAAATCCACAGGAATTAAAGTGTCTAGAAAATGTTACTTCCCTGATTTGTTTGAATAACTTTTCTACTTTCTCTCACTACTTCTTTTGCTGTCGTTTGTTTTGTTTTGTGTTTTTTGTTGTTGTTTTAGTCTTATTTAAGGTTTAATTTCTACATTTAGTAGATATTAGTAAAAATAAGTAACGACAAACAAAGTAACAAAATATTGTAGCAATCGGTTTGAAAATGTTTTCGTTTGGAACAAAAAACATGACAGGTTAACAATGAATAACTATCGATTTTAAGTTTAAAGTTCAGTTGACCACGTGTGGGATAAAATATTTGAAATGATTAAACTATTTATCTATTATTTTATGACAGAGATAGACGCAAAACCTAACCAGGAAGTGTTACCCTGAGAGCTTCATTCTTCAAGCTGAAAAAAATCAACTTAACCAGTTAAAAAAGAATACAAATTTTTGAAGATTCTTTCATTTCTTTCAGAATTTCCGGGTGAGGTAAATAGCAACAAATGCGTGGGAAACATTACGGCAAATTATTGACGTAAACGAAAAAAAGCAAAGATGATTGTGAAACCATATTACGTCGTTCGATGAAGTCCATGTTACGGCGTAGATTTTAGCTTCACTTTTTTCCCCCTCCTCTTTTCCTCGTTCTTAAATCTGAAATCAATTCTCTTTTCCAACTTCCTTTTTCAATTCTCTTGTTCATTCATTGAGTCATTTACTTCTTCATTCATTCTCACGAGAAACGTAAAATAAAACACAAACAGAAAGTTTTAAACATTTCAAAAAATATATAATTAAATCAACCAAAATCATATCTCATCCCGCAACAGCAAAAAAGATTCAAAACTTTAAAATCCTCGTTCAAAATTTTCTTTTGAAAAAAAGGTATTATGCTAAGCAGAAGCTACATATCTAAAGCTAGTGACTTTGGGCACGTAAAAACAGGGACTCGACATAGTTTTGGTTTAATCTTTTTAACGAAATAAATCACTTTCAAAAGCTTAAAACACAAATTTGATGAACACAAACTATTTTAACACCCCAAGGTATAATTTTATAATTACCTGCACATTATTAATAAATAGAATCTAATATTTACTTACAATCGTTTTTATAAGGATACAAAAACGATATTAAAAAACAGTCATTTCTTTTTGATTATCTTAGGGCATTTTTAATCTAAATGTAACTTTTTTTATTATTCTTGTTTCTTATCTGTCTAAGAGGACTGCAGAAGAGAACATCTTCCAAGATGATGGTTCTCTCTTGATTTCATTCCAAAATTCCTGTGGAAAAAAAACAAAAACAAAAACAAAAAATACAAAAAAAAAAACAACAAAAAAACAACAAAAAACAATGTAAAGATAAGAATGATTTATATGACAGAAAGAGGGAAGTTTCAAGTTTTCTCAAAAATTTTACTCTTCCTACACTTTTGTTGAGTTGTGTTAATCATAGACTGCCAAACTGCTTAGCAACACCTTTCTAATGTTTTTTCTTCTAATGAGTGTGTCTTCTTTAATTAGAATATTAACACTTGAAACTTGCGTCATGGTTAAACAGATAAAGAGAAAAACATCAAGGATATTGTATCTAATGAAACATGATACTTTTTGGGGGAGGGAATTCATAATCAATAATTTGAAGTGATAAGGAAAAAGGAATGTGAGGCATAACTCAATGGAAATTATTTACCAAATTTTAATATCATTGGTGTGTTAAAAATAATTTTAAAAAAACTAAAATAAAAAAATTACATCATTAATTTTATGACCATGAGTTTATAATTGCTTATTTCATCTTAATCTAAGTGAAATATTGACAACAAACTAGCATAAAAGTGAAATTTCTTACAGCGCAAAGCTATTACACATTTTATTCGCATACCTTTATGTGCAGGCTTTTTCCTACCAAACAAGCATTTGCACGTCTCATTTGGTAAAACCAGCCAGATTTGATTCTAAATGTGACGGTTTAACATTCTGAACCAATGACAAGTATGCTAATACATTGAATGTGGTCATATTTTTGCATGTTGCACTGTAAGATATTCTTAAAGTGTAGATCAAGAAAAATTATTTTTTTCCAAAACCACTTATATGTGAATAGTGTAGTAGTATGGTTGTATTATTTTTGTATGTGAAATTTTCTTTTCAGAGATATAAACATTTGAAATATCAATATGCAAATGAGATGACGTTAATTCAAGACTAATTTATTATACAAAAATGCTGTTGTGGAAAGTACTGCTGTTTTTTTTTTCACCTGCAAGTCATCCTTATTTACTGAAATATATGGTTTTGTACACTTCTCAGGGACGGCGGAGCAGTTTTTTGATTGGGGGGGGCTCAATAGTGACATTGTATGGCAAGGTGGGGGAGCTGAGTTTAGTGAGAATGTATTAAAATTTCACGGCACCCCTGCTTCTAGGTTATTTCACTTCAGAACACTTGTCGTAAATCACACATTGCAACATGTAACACATTCTGGAATTTTTGTCATCTCATTTGCATATTGATATTTCAAATGTTTATATCTCTTAAAAGAGAAGTCCACATACAAAAATACTGCAACCATAYTACTACACTGTTCACATATATATTTTTTATACACTTTAAGAATGCTGAAGGGTGGCATCTCAAACTTTCAAACTGAGAATTTTGAAAATATAAATTAATACAAGAACAAACAATGAATATGAAATTAATATAATTAGTTTTGTTGTCTAAGCTCTAACCAAATTTTATCTACTTACCTTCCAAAAATGCAATCTGTTCATTTTCTTCAACTGTTGCATCTAAAAGTAAATTAATGTAGATTAATTAACAAATAAAACAGCTTTTTCTGTGCTCCATTAAGTAATAAAGCACGCAGGAAGTGACGCAAGCATGGAAGAAGTGTTAGGAGAAGCATGACCCGTAGGCGAGTACTTCTCACACTTCTTGAGTGCTTACGGCGCTTCCTAAGTGCTTTATTACTAAGTGGAGCAGAGGAAAAGCTGTTTCATTTGTTTTATTATGTGGTTACAAATTTTATTTCTGTATCGAATTTATTTATGCAAAACGAATAACGGTTGCAGCACTTCTTGCCCGTGGGTGGCATCAGCACTGTGCTCCGTTCACCAATAAAGCACGGCTGTAGACCAATCAGCACTCACTTACTACCCTAACTATGTAGTAATTGATTTTAGTCTATATAAACAACCTCCACAAGTTGCAAGCTTTTTGAGTATTAGGCTCATTTTCCTAGTTTGAAAGTTTATTGAATGTTATGGTTCTAATATTCAATCACAATTTCCAAATCTTCTTCGCATCAGTGGCATAGCGAGAGTCCCAGAGTTTGGGGAGGGAATTGGGTGAGGGGGATGACAAGGGGGGGAGGGTGGGGTGGCATTTCCAAGGGTGCACTTTTGCACAAAAGCCCCAACAAAATCCACAGGAGCTAGCGCTCTGTCAGTAAACAACATGCACATCCTAACTTTACTTACCCAAGTCTTTCTTTTGTATTGTCTTTCTTTTTCCAAGTACTGTCTTTTTGTACGCTTCTTTTGCAAAATATTCTACAAACATTTCCTTTGGAAACAAATTGTAGTCCATTTGAAATATTTGGTTAAAATTTACTATAACATCTTAACCGGTGTTTCAGTTACACCAACAATTAAAAATTTATAAGTAATTTTGACTGTATAAAATATGAATTCATGATTTGAAGTTAAACGACGAGCTTACCGCTGCTCGTGTAACTACAAAAACTGCTTCTTTATTCGCTAACTGCAGGTCAGGATCCAGTTTCATCATATTCCGTACTCTCGTTTGTGGAAACTGTGTCAGTTTTGATGGCTTGTCTTCTTCTTGAGTGCCAGAAAGATCTTCGCTTCCTTGGACTGTTTCACCTTCTTCGTCCGCCATCTTGAAAAAACTTGGCGGGAAATAGTCGACTGGTCCCTAGTCCCTCTCAGTTTTATACTCCAAAGGGATCATATAGATAGTTTTTGCTAAGACGACAGCCGAGGCCAAGAGTTCACCGGTTTAAAAAAATTGAAAACAGTACTCTCATGAAACAATAAAAAATCAGTAGACATCGCACTATTTCGTACATAATGAATGGGATATAGTTGAGTCAATGGGGACCTTTTAATTAAATTGTGGTGACCTCCTCAAATTATTCGGATTACGAGTTACTGATTGGGTAGGAGGGGTTCACAAAATATTTTTCTTTGGAATATAGGATGTCCCGCAATGTCATACCCACGTTCCTCTAATACCTTCTGCTAGCTCATCGGAGGGCTTTTTTTCTGCCCTCCGGTTCTAGTAACCTCTGCTAGCTCACAGGGTATGTTCCTCCGATCAATTCTCTTTCACCATACTACACATTATGCCCTTATTATGCGTACTTTCTTGCGCATGCGCAAAGCCCACATTCCAAAGAAAACCATTGTTATACAAATAGCAAACAGGTATATAATGTGAACGCCGGACAGACCAGGYCTCTCCTTTCTTTGTGCCAGCGCACAAGGTAAGCTCACGTTCCTTGCTCGTTTTACTTGATACAATTTTGTAAACGAGTTGACTATTRACGGGACTTTGTTCCTATGCCTTTATATTTCTCAGCAAATTTGCCTGAAGAAAAATGCCGAAGACTACCGAAGAGTCTCTCCATGCAGATAATACGGTTAATCCTGACGATTTGCCGCTTCTACAAGATGACGGTCCATCTTTGTCGACCGAGCTGTTTACAGAAGAGTCGCTGTCCTTCCTACAACAGAGATTAGGAATAGACTCCATTGTGTCGRCGATAGATGATTTGTCTAACCTCGTAAAGAGATCTCAAGACGTTAAGGATGATGAACCATCACCTAAACGTGCTCGACTGAGCTATGATCCGAGTGCCTCACTCGGCGATTTGGCAAGCGATATRTTATCTGACGACGCCGAATCTGAACTCCCGCCCTCTATCTTCGATGATCAAGAGAATAAAGGTCCCAAAGTCAAAGAAGCTTTGGCGAAACGAGTAAACGAATCGTTTACTACTAAACCTATTGAAGACAAGATGAAGCCTCTGCTTCARAAATATCACACGCCTGAGAATTGCGAACTCTTRTGCGTGCCACGGGTGAATTCACCTTTGTGGAACGAGCTTCCACACAAAGCAAAATCTGTGGACCTTGGCGTCCAAGAAATACAAAAGATGATTGTTAAAACTGCTCAAGTTTTAGTGTCTTTGGCTGAATCAGCTATAAAGGCCAAGAAGGAGAAAGAACTCCTTGAACCACAAGAGCTCCTTGGAGCCCTTTCTGATGCTCTTGCATTCATTGGGAATGCTGGTTTTCAGACATCACTCAAGCGGCGAGATTTGCTCGAGGCTTCTCTCAGCAAAGACTACCAGTCTTTATGTTCCGCTTCTACTCCAGTTACAACTCATCTCTTCGGAGATGACTTGTCTAAGAAAGTAGACGATATTGCTAAGGCGAACAGAATTGCCGTCAAGATCACCAAGAATCCTGATACTCGAGCAAGTGGTGGAAACAGAAACCGCAATCGTCAAGGACAAGGCTCTAAGGATTTTTTGTCCTCAAAGCCGGGCCCAGCCCGGCGCAACAACAATTACAACAGATTCAATCA